CCAAAGTGCATTAATCTAAAAATAAAAAAAAACTCTAAAAGATAAGTATATGGATCTGTTATAGGATTTAATGTTATATGCACTGGAATATTAAATGAGAGGTCATGTTGGGTACAATGAATGTGCCAAGTATGAGTCCTGGGTAGAGAAGCAGCTGTGGAAATTCTGATTATTAAGTTAGATGAAAGAACCATAAAAATCACAGAAATGAACTGTCTGATTTCAACAGAATGAATGGGTGCCTGCCAGAAGTAAAGCAGACTAAGTGATGCACTATAAACTCTCTGCTTTTGTCCAAAATGTAATGGCTTAACCCCCAAAACAGTAAAATGAGTTAACAAGAATGAAAAGGCCTGTTTTAGTCCTGTGTTTTAGGCTATTTTTATTACTTAAAGAACTGAATGTAAATTAATTTTTTGGTTTGTACGCTAGTTATTATGCCACTGGAAGCCCTTTGGAAATGCTTTCTTGTTTAACGAACTTTAAATACTTTAAGACAATTTAACTTCTTACAGCAGCACACATTTATTGATTACAGATTGATTACAGGTTTCCCTCACCAACCACAGTTTTGCCAACCACCTTTTGAGTACCCACGCTTCAGAGAAGTGCGGGGGGGGGAGGGGGGGGGTTTGTTACAGCCAGAAAGTAAATCTCATGGCTCCTCTAGCCCTGCTGGTGCCCCTCACCCACAGCCCTGCCAGTTTTGCCAGCCACAGGAACTTTCAGGAACCTAACCCCTGTGGTTGGCAAGGGAAACCTGTATACTTCAGCTACCTACAGCAAAATTACATTTTTCTTTTCTCCAGCAATGAAAAAAAAACAAACAGTCTTATAAACCTACAAGCTAGAAGGCATTGTCTTCCGTTCTATAACAACTACCAGCCTGGCACACAAAGTTGTACAGAAAAGTATATTTTACTGTCATTTTAATACCTGAGTCAGGTATCTTCCAATAGACATCAGCAGGCCTAACTAGTCCACCAGCTCTTGTGTAAATACCCTGTTGTCTACTACTAGCTCCTATGTTAATGCAGAGAAATCATATGTGCCTGCCCATCCTAAACTGCCACTTTCCAGGTAATAGTTACTACTTTTTTTAATTAAAATTTTTAACCTTACAAAAAGTAAATCAAAATTTGCTAGCATGAAAAATCTGGATTTTGAAAAAAAATAATGGTTTGGTGGGATCAAGATTTGCAGTTTGCATGGAAACTTCGACATACTGCTTATAACCAAAGTTCTGAGCTGTCAAGCAGAATATCCAGAAAATAAAAATGCCCAAAACTGTCAGTGAAACCCAATACTGTTATTCTTCTAGATAAAGTAAGAGGGTAAAATCTACATCTTAAATAGTGAAAAAGTTAGATTTTTTTAATTTCCAATTTTTATGACTGAACAATATTGTTTTTTATTGTGACAAAAATCTTTAAAAATATTAAATGGCTTACATTAAAATGAGAAAACATCCCATCATAATATGGCTCTATAACTGGTATTTCTAAAAGCACTTACCAGTTTTTTGAAAGGAAATATATCATACATTATTCTACAGTATTCCATAGACGATTCTACTGAACAGGTCCATAGCGACTTTGAGATGGGAGCCAGAGGTATAATTCCTTGGGTCCGATTCTTCACTAACATGTCAAACTCAACATGTTGTCTGCAAGATTCTGCCATATAGGGGCAATGATCCACAACAAACACAGTTTTATGGGACTCAGCGAAAATTTTCATTTTCTTCCTGAAACAACAACAAAAAACATCCAGCAGTTAGACAAAAAAAAACTGCAGTAGTCTTCTCTCATCAGTTGCTATATCTATAATGTTATTGTCAAGTTTATAAAGTATCCTAGGTATGCAAACATTGACCTTACTATGAAACTCCTCTTTGCAAGACTATGCTTAATAACTCGCAATTATTTTCATCTTATGCAACTACATTCATTGAATTATGGTTGATATTTAAAAAAAAATCAGTCTAAACTAAAAACCTGATATACAAGATGTGTGTCTAGGAATATAGCATTTTTATGCAGCAAAAGAAAAAATGAGGTAGGTGGTGAAGAAAGCAAATACTGATATTACATTTTTTTCACTCCTACCTCAAAGAATTAAAGACAAAATTAACAGGAATTGATAATTACTTCTGTATTTAAAATCTATCTTTAAAATATAATTTCTTAAAATGAGTTAGAGCAGGGGTCCCAACATTTGTGTGCCCAAGGGCACATTCGAATTTAAGAGAAAAAGAAGCAAGCCAATATCAAGGTAATTCCTGGATATGCGCATGTGCTTGGTTTCAACTGGGAAGGGAATAGCAAGTGCCACTCCATCACTGCGTCAGTCAGCCTCACTTAGTCTCATTTTGGCAGCCGTTGCATACAGCCAGCAAAGAGAATTTTGAAGTGTTGCTGTTTTGAGTTCAAAATCAGCAGTGACAGCATTTTTTGTTGGAATAATGATTTTTACTGATTGTGAAAATGTGTGCAGGCACCTAAATAAACCTCAAAGGGTACCACTGTGCCCACAGGCACCGTACTGGGAATCTACTGTACTGAGTCTTTCTAGCATAGAAGCTTTCCCCCAGTCTGGCAAATTTTGCAGAATTTACTTGTGAATTATCAGTTCCTCTGTTTCAGCTCTATAGAGACACTACTTTTTGTTGACTCAGTCTTTGCACAACATAGGCAGGAAAAACTTTTAAGATAGTATGAAAATGCAACTGTAATGTAAAAAATACTCCACAGGAACTTGAAAGCATTAAGTTATTGCCTGAACCGTATTTTTAAGTCATTGTTGGAAGCTGGCCATATTTCAAGTTGACCCTGTCCTTTAAGAGTCATACACCACAAGGCTGCTTCTCCTTCAACAAAACTGAGTGCAACTTGAAGAGTGCTACCAGAATGCTACATGATTCTCTCCCATTATAGATCTCGATTAGGCAGAGAGATCACAATTCCATTATAGATCACGATTCTCTCCAATTATAGATTAGCTTATGCTGCTTATTTCTTGAATCTAACATGGACACTGTTTATGACATTCTTCAGTGCAGTCAAACTAAAATTTGATTTTTGCCACAGCTGTAATTTCAACGTTAAAGTCACACAAGTTGCCTAAAGCTGCAATGAGATACTTAAATATGCCACACTTGTGCATCTGACCTTGGATACTTACATTTTCCCCAAAGTTTGTATCCAGTCATTCCCAGGGAGCTAAAATTATTATCCTGGCCACATAGTCACACACAGGTTTTGCAAACCAATACAATCCTGAACTCAAACCTGGAGTCTCTTGTAATCTGACTTTTCAATTTATTCTGACAACAAGCTCTTCCATGCACCCAGCCTGACAATGATTAGAAGGAAGAACATTTTAAAAAAAAATCACCCACATCCCTTTCCGTTCTGGGCGTAAGATCTTTCTATTTGGGATCACTTGTGCTAGGCGGGTAACGAAGGAGTTTCAAGTCTTCTGTAACCTTTTTCTTAATCAGTTAACCAATGGAAAATGAAGGGCTAGTCCACAATCACCAAGTCTGTCAACCACTAAGAGCACCTACGCTGTAATTATAGCGCATGGTAATTACCGCACTCCAGCAGACTCCAGCGTCACAGGTATCAGCATCCCTGCATTGAAAAATGGCAGTGGAGCACTTTAAACTAAAGCTTGTTCAATGAGCTTTACACTGGACTATCACGTAACACACACCACAGAGGGTCTGCAAAGCCACAGTCCCTGGTCCGTCCAGCAACCTGCCTTGCTGGCTACTTAACTCAATGCTGTCTAATATTAGATATTTTAAAAAAATCAAAAGAGAGAGACAGAGAGACACATTCCCCTGGCAGCCTGACCCAGGGGCAGAGATGTGTCAAGACTTTCCCATCACTTGATCCTTTTACAATCCTTTCTCCAATGCCAGAAGAAGGGTATTTGTGCCCGAAAGCTATCTTCTAATTAAAGAAATCTAGTTGGTCTAAAAAGAGATATCACCGCTACCACGAGCCACAATTCCCATCAGTTGAGGCATTAAACTCAATGCTTCCGCAGACTCTCCTTCTGCCTGAAGAAAGGCATTTGTGCCTAAACGCTTGCAAAGAACAATTTCCCCAACTATTTAGGTGGTCTGATAAAAGCTATCACATCTACCCAAACAGCCTTGTCACCCCATGCTTCAGTCGAGGCATTACATTTAATCAGTTGAATTTGAAACCTAACCCCCACCTCCAACGCCCCCTTTAAATTTCCTTTAAAACGGTGAGGGCCGCCGTTAGCGGGGAGGTGGGAGGTCTGGGAGGCGCTAGTGCGCATGCGCCGTTGCCCCCCACTCCCGGGCCGTGTTGCAACAAAAAAAGAGTGGTGGGGGACTTTCACTCCCTCTTACTTTTTGACCGGATCCGCCTCTGGTGCATAAGTCCCGGGGCCGCTCGCAGGGGGGAATGTCGCTCACAAGGGGGGCGGGGCGGGCAGGCGCCTGCCCTCCATAACCCACCCCACAGGCGCTGCGCAGAAAGGGGGAAGAGGCCGGTGTGAAATACCAGTTAACGCTCCGACACCTTCACGGCGACACTGAGATCCCCGTGACCAGAGCCCCTCTCTCCCCACCAGCGCCCCCTACCCCTCAGCTTCTCGCCGGTCTCGCGAGACTTAGACCCTTCGGCATGGGACTCTCGCGCTATTTCATAGCTAGTAGATTTGACCGTGCCTGGGGCTGGTATGGGATTTCGAAGTCTCGCGGAATGCGGTTGAAGGGGATATTAAAAAAAAACAAACCAAAAAAAATAAACCGAGGAGTGGGAAGTATCGCGATAAGTGGTGTTCCGGCAGCGATCGCGGTTTGAGTGGGAGCGGCGGGGTGCGCGGAGGCCCCCCCCCCCCCGCCTGTGGGGCTGCCTGGCGCCACGGTACGCGCGGCTCCCGCGGCCGGTGACCCCGATCACGGCCCGGCCTGGCTCAGGTTTTGCTGGCGCCGCCAGGCATGAGTGAGTCGGCCGGGGCGGGGGGCGCAACCCGGATTTGGATTTAATGTCTCTGCAGGCCCGGTTGTCGCGGGGCCAGAATGGCCCAGCTGTGGGATGGAGCCGCGTGTGTCCGGGCTGGGAGACTGGGCTGAACCGGACCGTGGGGAGGAAGCGTGTGTGTGTGTGTATGCATATATAGATTTTATAGACATTAGAGCTGGAAGGGACCTCTCAAGATCATCGAGTCCAGGCCCCTGCCCCAGGGGCCGGAAGTCAGCTGGGGTCAAAGGATCCCAGCAAAATAAACGTCCAAATGTCTCTTAAAGGAGTCCAGAGTAGGTGCTTGCAACCACCTCTGGCGGCAGTCTGTTGCAGGCCTTGGGGGCTCGGACAGTAAAGAAGTTCTTCCTTATGTCCAGCCTGAAATGGTCTTGGAGCAGTTTGTGACTGTTTGACCTTGTCATCCCTTGGGACGCTCTGGTGAACAGGTGTTCCCCCAGATCCTGATGTACACCCCTTATATACTTATAGGCTGCCACCAGGTGTGTCCGTCATGTTCCCCCCCCCCTCCCCTGAGCTTGTGCTTTTCCAGGCTGAAGAATTCCAGTGCTCCCAGCCTCTCATCATAAGGCCTGTTTTCCTGCCCTTTGATGATGCGAGTGGCTCTCTGGACTCTCTCAAAGAGAGAGTATATATGTGTATATATACAGTTGTGTGTGTACACTAAGCTCTGTGCGTACATAAAATAGGCAGACAAAACTCTTGGGGTAGAGGTGATTATACACACACTGTGTGTATAGAAGCTGTGTGCATGTGTATCTGGGTATACACACAAACTGTAAAAGGTAGCTTTGCGTGTGTGTATATACACACACAAAACTGTGTGTATAGAAGCTGTGTGTATATGCAGTTTTGTAATACAGCTTTTATACACGTGTGTGTGCGCATACACACATATATAGAACTGTATGTATAAAACTATAAAGCTGTGTGTATGTGTATATATTTGTGTGTGTATTTTATATACCTATATACGTGTATATATAAGTATAAAGAAATAAACTTTATATATATATAAATAAAGCTGGGTGTGGGTGTCACTGTATAAATAAAACTGGGAGGGGGTGTATCGATAGGTGAAACTGGGGAGGATATATATTTCGTTAATAAGTTCCTGTCTGTGGACTGAGTTGTATGCCTATTTCATGGTAAGACCTTTGTTTACAGTGTGCAGCCCAGACTGGTAGCTAGACTTCTGTGCTCCTGCAGTAGAATGGTGCAGGCTTCCTGGTGGATGTGTTGGGCTCTGTCAAGGCAGGATGTGTGGCTTCATTGCACTAACTTGGAACATCAGGAAACTTCTCTTTCTCTTGATATGTAGGTAGGGCAGAATTGATTACCTTACTAAAAAGTGGCAGATGAATTAGAAAATTTGACATAATTGACAGTGATTAACAATGGACAAAGACAGCTATATAAGCTCTGGAAAAAATTGAATTTGCTAGTGTAAGCATTTTTCCCAGTGTCTCGGGGAGATCTGTGAAATGAATTAAAGAGCTGTGTTTAAACTTAGCATGACTTCGGCTAACTTGGTTTTTCACAGCTCAGCCAACCATTGGGGGAAGTTGGCAAAGCTATGTGTGTATGTGCTTTTTTTCTAGAAAGAAAATGAATATAGAAGCTAAAAAATAAATCTATATGATTAAGCTCTCTATATAGCTAATTAAAACTGAAGACACTGATTTCCTCCTCTTCCCCCTCCCCCGCCAAGGAAACTTAAGACGGATACTCAACTTAAAGTGATTTTTTTTCAGTGGCAGTTTGTTGGCTAACTGGCCTTTTGTGCGTTTGAGAATTCCCCCCTTGGTGAATGTCTACTAAGCAGTTACAGAAGTAGTTTTCTGAATTGTTAGACTGTTCTACAAGGCAGGTTGATGCACTTTTCTCTAATGAGGTCTGTAACAATGCCAAAATACAAACGTTGCTATTTTATTGTTGCACTGTTCAGAAAAAATTACGTATTTTATTTGAATGGAAAAAGTGTCAGTTATTCTGCCAGCCTCAGAACTCAAGTGTGTCTGAAAAGACTCTTTCAAAATCTTTAAAAAAAAAAAAAAGAAACAAAACTAATCTGTGCCTAGACTAGCCATGTAACATAACCAGTCAGGAAATTAATATTGTGGCATTTGAGTAGGTGGAAATGTTTTTCAGGCTTAGCTGTAACCCATGCTTGGTCACACCTGCTGCAGTTAGATAATGTTTTAATTGAATGAACTACATTCATTTCCTGTCCTAAATTGCTGTGTTGCTCTCAACTGCTGAAAAAGTTTCTGCTTTTTTAGGTGTTTTCCATGCAATGATAGCTGAGGTCACTGTATTTAGACATAAATTAAAATCTTCTCTTGATCTTTTAAACATTTTGAGTTACTTTACTTATGTCATTTTAGCTGCCTCTTCCATACATGCAATTCTTTAAAAAAAAACAAACAAACCAAAACCTAAGACTTTCAGCATCTGCACAGCATTAGATTTCCCCTTCCAGATATGTAGCTGCCATCTCAAAACGGTTGTGTGGTATGACACACTCAGATTTTTCAATATTGTCATCTTTTCCATTAACCTTTGCAATGTTGCTGCTGCTTTTTCTTTTCCTCCACTTTTTCTGCTTCTCTCACACAGGCCATGCATAAATCACGTTTTCTCAACAACTTGGATCCTTGAAGTTTCCTTTTGGCTCTTGTCCGTGGCTCATGGTCTTGAATTTTCTGAATTAAAGGTGCATGAAGGTTACTCATAGAGATGCACCAGTACATTGGTTTGATATTGGATTGGTACCGATATAAAGAAAATTGGTTGTACTGAAAATCGGCCCAATGGGGCCGATAACTTGGCTGATAAACGCCCATGCGTGCACGCAGCACTCGGTTGGCAAGGAGCACAGCCCAGCAGCGTGGAGAGCTGCCTCCAGCTGGTAAGTCTGTTGTGGTGGAAGGGCTCCAGCGCACAGCTGCAGCCCACTTGCCCCATGCAGATCCAGGGGGCACAAACCCACCTGTACCCTCCCATGGTGTGCGCAGCCATGGGAGCTGCTTTCCCCCCCACCCTAAACAAGCTGGGGGTCTGTCCCATGCTGTGCCCCACCCTGGCTGGGCAGTGCATGCCCCTGTCCCCTCCCTCGGGGGGGGGGGGGGGGGGTTGAACTGCCCCCCACGCCCCTTCCCTCACTACAATGGACTTACCAGCTGGAGGCAGCTCTCTGCAATGTATCAGAAATTGGATTGGGATCAGCCATACTGGCTGCTTAAAAAGGAGGCCATACTGGCCTCCTTAAAAATCGTATATCGGTATTGGCCCCAAAAATCTCTATCAGTGCAACACTAGTTACTCAGTTGTTGGGGTTTCATGAGAGTTGCAAATTGTTCTTGTTTCCAAGGAAGAAAACAAGGTTTTGAATATTTCTCCCTTTTTTGCTCATGAGGGAAAGAATGTATCCAAGAGCTACAGAATAAGTTTTAAAAAACTGATGTTGCAAGTATGACTAGGATTGTACTATTGTATGATAAGTAGTGATTGCTTTTAAAGTGATACATTTACAATTTTTTAGAAATGAGTTGCACGATTGAGAAAGCCCTAGCTGATGCCAAAGCACTAGTGGAGCGGCTAAGGGAGCATGATGATGCAGCAGAAACTCTTATTGAACAAACTACTGCTCTCAACAAGCGGGTAGAAGCAATGAAACAGGTTTGTTTTTCATTTGCTTACTCATTTTAAAAAGTGAAGAAACTGAGATATCACCATTAAGACTGATGTAGGTAATCTTGAATGCTATTAACTTAGATCACTCTAATTTAGATACCTCTTCTATTGACATTCTAGATGGCTGCCACATGAGTATGAACTCTCTAATGAAATGGGTCTTTTCTCGCTTTGGTTACTGTGATCCTATGAACAAGTTGTTTGTTCTTAAGATTGGGACTAAAGTAAACAATGTATATGCTTAAAGTTAAATATGTGCTTAAGGGTTTGTAGAATTGTTTTTTATATAAAACATAAAAATTATGATGCCTGTAGGCTTCTCTTCCCCAAGTATGTATTCTTTTGTTTTATTAGCTCAGACATCCAAAATTAACCACACTGAGACTTTTATAAGCATGCAGTCTTATTTTCTCTTGCTGTGTGTTATCTTTCTACTCTCTCATCATCTGAATCAAATAGCTAGTTCAACTGATTTTTTTAGTGGGTAACAATTTTCATTTTCTGTTTCATAATCAAGGGGTATCACTAGCCTCAGCTTCTACTAAATGATGGGGCAAAACAAGGTTCTCTGGTATTAATTAGAAAGATCATCCTGTCACATTGATATGACTTAGTAAGGTAGTAAAACTATAGATTTTTCATGACTCTAGATGAAGGTAACATTGTTGGATTTGAAGTGAATTTAGCATGGTCAGGATACAGTAGGGTTTGGAATGCAAATCTTACTGTACTCTTAATTTGGAGACCAATTAGGAGACATTATTCTTGCAGTCAATTTTGGTATATGCAGTATGTTCTGTACAAAAAGCTATCCTTAAAATTAGTTTCAATTAATTGTTACTTAATTAAATAACAAGTATCTCAAATGTTGTTAATATTGGCCCCAGATGCTAAATTTTAAATGATATTAGTCACTGTTGATAATTGCTTACATTCACATACATATTATTCTTTTAACATGACTGTTGAACTCTAATTAGTATCAAGAAGAAATTCAAGAGCTTAATGAGGTAGCAAGACATCGGCCTCGTTCTTCATTAGTGATGGGTATCCAGCAGGAAAACAGGCAAATAAGGGAATTGCAGCAGGAAAATAAAGGTGAAGTTTAATATTTTGTTTTTGGAGGGGGGGAAGTCTTGACCTGCACCCATGAAATTTGGACAGGCATGTCTCTAGTTTTATCAGCGTAAGTTTTCCCCAAGAGATTCTTCCTTCTGATCTTAGATTTTTCTTAACATAAAATCAGTCATAATGTAGTCGCAAACTGTGACATATAGAAAGTTCAGCTCTGTCAAAATGGTGAATAAAAATTCAGATGTGTTTTGCCTTATGAAATGGCTTTGCTTGTACTTTTTCCAGAGATCTAATGCTCTTAGTTTTTAAACCAGGTAAAAAGATAGATATCATCCATTCCTATTAAATTTAGTATATTTAGTTTGCTGCCAAGAAAAAATCTTTATTTTTTCCATTTATCACTGATATCATAAAACTGACTTCTCAGAAGCCTTAACAGCTGGCGCTATGTATTAAAATGCTTTGCCATTCTTGATCTTAAATTTTTGGTAGTTTAACATTTTTATGTAGACACATTTTCCACAAAGTTACACGCCCAACAGTAGCCTAATTTGCTTCCAGATATAGCTGTACATAAAATATCTCATGCAGAGGTAAGGTCCCCACCCTGCTCCAGCCACTTTATTTCTCTTAAAAAGAGGCTTTGAAAGCCTTAATTGTAGCTGATCAAGAATGTTATCAATGTAAATACCCTTGGAGAAGCTTGCCATATATAAAGTCCAAATACATTTTATAGAGCAGCGGTCCTCAACCCTGGTGTTGAGTCACCTGGCCCATGGGGTTTCGTACCAGTTGGAAAATTTAGTGGTGGCACTGCTGCCAAATTTCCAGGCCCATGGGAAGCCCCGAAGACTGGCTAGCATGGCCCCATACACTGGATTGGGTGCACAGGTTGGAATAGGGCTGTGCAAAGCTTCAGTAGTCGGTTCAATTCGGAGGAAATTCGGCCTAATTCGGGGACTGAATCTCTGAATTGAATCGGGAGACCAATTATAAGCTCTGAATCGATTTGAAGCATCCAAATCGGATTGGAAAAGGTTTGGCAATTTGCTCATAGATTAAACAGGCAAGTGACACAGCTGCTTCCAGCGGGTAAATCTGTTGTGGTTGGGGGAGGGAGTTGCTCCAGGTGGAATGGGGCAAGTGGCAATAGGGCATAGCCCCTGCTTCCAGTGCTGTTTATGCCTAGGGCTGGGACAAGCTGCCCAGCTGGGGCAGGGGTGTGGGACTTGAGGGGGGCACAGGATGTGGGCGCAGCAGTGCTCACGCTGGCTGGCAAGCGGAGGTAGCACTTGTGGGGCCCCTCCCCCCCGCCCCCATGCCAGCTGGCAAAGGGCAACAGCACAGAGCACCCATTCCCAGCACTGATGCAGGCGCAGCAGTGCTGAGAGCAGGGGCTCTGCCCTGCTGCCTCTTGCCCAGTTGGTGCCAGGCAGGGGGGTGCGATGCAGGCACAGCTCACTCCAGGCAGAAGGGGACTCTGTTCCCAACACTGCCATGCCCGCATCAGCAGTGGGAGCGGGGACTCTGTGCTGCTGCTGCTTGCCAGCTGGCACAGAGAGACAGAGGATGCAGG